CTTCCTGACCCCAGGGGTTTTTCTGTGTGGCTAGAGGGTTCAGAAGTGACCTGGAACTGGGACCGTGGGGAGGACCCAGCATCACTAGAGAGATGATCCACCAAGGTCGGTCCCAAGTAAGCCAAGAGCACAGCAGAGTCCCTCCCCCTCAGGCTCTTTGTCCCTGGCTCTCCAGGAACTCACTTCAGAGGCACATCCTGGGCTGACTCTTCTGTGTGAGGGGGCCCGTCGTCAGCCTACCCTAAGGCCTGCCCAGGGACATGGCTGAACCAGAGCCCACACCTCTCTTTGTTCTCAGAGGAACAGAACATGACCTAGGGAGACCAAAACCCAAGAGGTTTGGGGGTGTACTGAGGATATAGACCATGAATAAAGCACACAAAACATTATTTACCCCATGACTATTACAGACTAACGGGACCCAAAGGTGCCTGGGGCACCCACAGTGATTGCAAGGTCCTCCTCCTCCCTCCCTCAACAGGCCTAGTGACCACCCAGGGAGGCAGCAATGGACACCTCTGGGACCCTTGACTCCAGCAGCCACCTGTGAGCCAGGAAGTGACCGGCCAGGTGTTTGCATAGGTGCTGAACACTGTGGTGACTCCTGCCATCATCTGGCACCCTGGGGAAGCACCAGGTAACTGTTGGTGCCAAGCATTGTGTACAGTTTGGACCAGCAGGAGCTTGTGGAAGACAGTGGACAGAAGCCACATGAGACCCTGAACAGAGGTGATGGCCAATTCTAATCCTAAGATTTCAGCTTTTTAGGGTGGACTGTCGTCAACATAGTCCGCTCAGACACTGGGCCATTCATAGAGGACCCCAAAATGAGCCCACCCAGCCTAGTGAGTCAGAAGCTAGGCTGACAGCTCCCCTAGTGGTGGAATGTGGGGACTGCAGCAGCAGCAGCTGATCCTCTCCCCGCCCCCCCAGTACTGTTCCAGGTCTGGGTGTGGTTGTCAGAGCCTGAAAAATCCAGCGAGCTTCCCTTTGTTATCTGCCTCTGCCCACCTCTCTGCCGTTCTATAACATGTCATTAAGAAATCTTCCCGATAAAATAATGAGCAGACAAGAGCCTCAGAGCCTGGGCCTGTCTCCCACCCCAGCAGACAAATCCCACTGTGGATGGGCCCTTTGGGGCAGGTCTATGTCCCTGGCCTCATGGAAGGCCTGTCCCCCGCCCACACACACACCTCCCCAAGGCAAGCTGACGATACCTCCTTGTTGGTTACATTTGTTGGAGTCTGACATGACCAAAATGAGAAACACAGCAAAGAACAGACCAAGTGGGAGCTGGAAACCCAGGGCTGTAACCATACCCTGAGTTAAACAGCATTGGCTTCTACCCCCAAATTCATACTCCTGGAACTTTAGGGTGTGGTCTTGTCTGGAAACGGGTCTTTTTGTTGTTGTTGTTGTTTTGTTTTCCTTTAATAGAACCTCACTATGGTGCCTAAACTGGACCCTCCTAATCTCAGGTGGTACCCCCACCTCAGCCTCCTGAGTAGCTGAGGTTACAGGCTTGAAAACAGGATGGTAAAGATGTGATTAGCCTTTAACGTGGAACCATACTGAATTGCGTTATGCCTTAAGTCCTTGTTGTTAAAGAAAAAAGGCCACCTGAGGACAGAGATACATCCAGGTAGGGTGGCGCATGCCCGTGTCTCAGGCCGACCTGGAATTACAATATGTGAGATTGAGGCAAGAGTTCAAGGAGAGCCTGGGCTACATCGTGAATATTAATCCGTCTTAAGATTCAATCTGAGACTCTATCTCAAATGAACAACCATAACGCAGGGGCATGGATAGCACGGAGATCAAGGGCCAATGTGGGCAAGAAGGGAGAGCAGTGTAGCCACAAGCCCACCCAGACAACAACCACCAGACGCTTGGAGAGGCAGAGAGGATGGTCCCCTGAATGGAGGGGAAGCATCTGCCCGTGCCTTGATGTTGAATGTCTGGCTTCCAGAACCTGCGAACAAATTTCTGTTTCCACAAGCCGTCATCTGTGGTCATCTGTTATCTGAGAGCCCCGGGAGCCCCCCACACACAATGTGGGTGAGGAAGGCTCAGGGCTCTTGGACACAGGCTAGGCTGGCTCTTGAGTCTGGCTAGCAGGCAGGGTCCCACGGTCCCATGTGACCAACAGTTGATGGTAGCCATGATGGCCAGTACTCACTGGTGGTGCTTCCTGACATCTGGATGATGCACTTGGAGTCACGGCTCATTTCCCGGGAATTGAAGGGGCGGACGCGGACCGCCACCTTCACAGAAGCCCCAGCCATTTCTGTGGCGTTGGTTGGTAATTCAGCCGCTGCACTTGCCCCAGAGAGGGCAGAGTCACCTGGGGGGGGGGGGTAACACAAAAATTAGGAGCAGTATTCAAAGAGGCAGTACAAGGGTGCCTGGCTATGCCCACGGGACTTCTCCCCTCCCGTCAGCCCCCCAATGACACAGTGTGGTGAGCTGCCAAAGGACGCGGAAGTGGGAGCAGGCGAGAAAAGGCACTGGTTTGAATAGCACAACGCTAAGCTGAGGGTGAGGAGCCTGACAACGCCGGAACAAAGTGGCCCTCCAGTGAAGAAAACCGATCCCCCTCTCCCAGCAGCTATAATTTGGTTAGGGATGGGACTTTGTGCCCACTTCCTTCCCTCAGTGCTGGGATTTTGTCCGGATTGAACTTGTGAGGAATTTGAGCATGAGTTACCCATGGGTGTAACAAGCACACCCCAGGGCAGCCTGCGTGCTCAGGAATAGTTGGCCAACACGAAACAGACTCTGTGTTATTGCTTTCTTGGTTTTGTGTACTTGTGTGTGTCCTGGGTGGGGTGGGGGCAGTATGCTTTCTCTTGTTTTCATTTTTAAGTGAAAGACTATGAACTTGGGCAGGTCGGGATGAGGAGAGAGGTAGGAAGAGCTGCGGAAGGAGAAAGATTATGACCCAAGTATGAAAAAATCTTTTGAGCCAGGTGGTGGTGGCACAGGCCTTTAATCACAGCACTCGTGAGGCAGAGGCAGGTGGATCTCTGAGTTTGAGTCCAGCATGGGCTATAGAGTGAGTTCCAGGACAGGCTCCAAAGCTAGACAGAGAAACCCTGTCTCCCCGCCCCCCCCAAAAAAAAGAAAGAAAAGAAAAAGTCTTTTAACTGAATTGAAAAAAGAAAGTGAGGACCATCACACCTACAGGGTGCTTTGGGCAAGGGTTAAAGATGGACAGGTGTCAGTCTGCTCCTGCCTTTCCCTGGCTGTGTGATTCACCTCTGGGCAGTGGTTTATGGGTGTGCTGAAAGGGCAGGGTTGAGGCTGTGACCCCACTCACAAGTGAAGCTGAGGCTTGATTGCCCCTCATTAACTGCTCCTTCAGAGGTTGCAGGAGAGGGACAGACCTCCCTACCATTGAGGATGGACAAATCCACCCTGGAACCGAAACTGGTGGGGGCTGGACTCCCACCTTCATGGGATCCCTGCAGCCGCAAGGCAGAGTGTCAGTCACTCTTTGAGAGCATGTGCCACCTTCCCCAAGTCTATGAGTGACCACCCAGGAAGGGCTGGCCAGGGATGAGGCTGTGGCCTGGGCAAGCCCGTGAAGCCCTAGGACAAGAGTCCTCGGCGGCATGTACACAGCAGCACACACTGCGTCCTTTAATCCGTATCCTGCGATCGAAACGGGAAATCATCAGCGAGGAAGAAAATGTTTATGAGATAGATGACGTGGTAAGCTTCTCGTTCTCCTCAAATTCAGCTGCACAGACGCTCAATTCCTGTAACCCAGATACTCCAGCAGGATGCTCAGTGAAATCTGGCAAGATGAGATTTTTGGGAAACGAGGACAGAGGAGGGCCACACACCCCTCCCGGCCCTCACCTACACTGCAAAGCCGTGCTCTTTCAAGGGCTGACGGCGGATCTGCTCTAGTTCAGCTTCTGCTGCTGTGATCATACAGACCGGAAGCAGCATGGGGAGGAGAGGATTTATTTGGCTGAGACTTCCTGGTCACAGCCCATCGTTGAGGGAAGTCGGGGTGGGAACCTGAAGCAGAAGCCATGGAGGAATGCTGCTTCTTGGCTCATTGGCAGGTTCATATCCAGCCCATGGCCACCTGCCTAGGGATGGTGCCACTCACAGTGGGCTGGGCCCTCGTACGTCACTTAATAATCAAGGCAGTCCCCTACAGACGTGCCCACGGGCCAATCTGATTTAGGCAATTCCCCAATCCAGGTTTTCCTCTCAGACGACTCAAGGCTGTGTCAAGCTGACAGTTAAAGCTGACTAGAACAGTACCTTCTCCTCTGTGGAGAAGATAGAGCATGTTCATAGTCCCTCTCTCTCTCTCTCTCTCTCTCTCTTTTGAGGGGGGGTTAGACACAAAGTTTCTCTGTGTAGCTTTGGTGCCTGTCCTGGATCTCGCTCTGTAGACCAGGCTGGCCTTGAACTCCCAGAGATCCGCCTGGCTCTGCCTCCCAAGTGCTGGGATTAAAGGCATGCGCCATCCATCACCGCCTGGCTCTCTCTCTCTCTCTCTCTCTCTCTCTCTCTCTCTCTCTCTCTCTCTCTCTCTGAGTTTTACAAGCTCAGTATTGGGTGACTGAAGAGAGGGCTCAGCAGTTGAGAATCCTGACTGCTCTTCCAGAGAACCCAGGTTCGATTCTCAGAACGCACACAGCAGCTCACAACCGTTTGTTGTTCCAATGTCCTGTTCTGGCCTTCAAAGGCACTGCACACATGTGGTACACAGACATGCATGCAGGCAAAACACTCACACACAGACAGTGAAAAATACATTAAGGTCAGTATTGGACAAATGGCCCCTTTGAACCATAGACTGGAACTTTCTTTCTGGAAGCACAAACACAAGGGCCTATTCCCACGCCAAAGCAAAAAAAAAAAAAAAAAAAAAAAAAAAAGAAATACCACTTCAGGAAGCCAGCAAAACACTCCTGCATGCAGGTGGGCAGCTGGTGAAGATCAGAGCTACTGAAGCCGTGGGGGTAACAGGCCAAGATTCTGGGGCAGGGGGCTAGAGGGTGCAGGGACCGAGAACACTGAGCGGCGCTGGCTCCCAGCCCATTTGCATTCTGGACACGAGGCAAGAGGCTGAAAGACTGGAGTCTTTCCAGGCAGAGAGCTGTTGCCGAGTGACAGGAAAACCTGCAGAGCTGTGGTGTAGAAACAAACAGGAGGCCAAGATAAGGAAGTGGAATGTCAAGGTGGACACACCGGCAGCTCTCCCCTGAAGACATTTGGCAAGTTCTGAATCCAAGGTATAGAATTTAAGAGCCCAAGCCAAGAGCCTCTGAAAGCCAAAGGAAATTTCCGCAGTGGTAGGCGGCACTACAGACTACAGGAGTCATGGAGGCCAGTCTCGGAAATCCAGGGATGTACCACAGAGTCCAGTAGACGAGGTCCCACAGATGAGACCTGCCGCAGCCTGGCCTCAACTGGTTGTGACTGAAGCTCCTGGGAGAGATGAGCCTTCTGTAATGGGGTACAGCAATGTCAAGGTCTGGGTGGCATCTCAGTCAGCAATGTGAGACCTTATATCAAAATTACAAGGCTCGGGGCTGGAGAAATGGCTCAGCCGTTAGAAACACTTGCTGCTCTCACAGAGGACCTGGGTTCAGTTCCCAGCACCCACGTGGCAGCTCACAGCCATCCGTAATTCCAGTTCCCGAGGATTGAGTGCCTTCTTCTGGTGTCCTCCAAGGGCTCCAGGAATGCATGTGCTACACACACATACAGATGTGCAGACAAAACACTTATATATATATA